AAATAGAATATATCTGCGAAAAATCTCATCCTAACGAACGCATTTGTGGTTTACTATGCATTAATCGTATCACAGACAAAATAATATTTAGTTAGTCATTTTATTTGAATAAAAAATCACTCAATATTTACGGGTATATATCGTACACCTAGATCTAAAGTGAGCTAACTCAAAATTCAACGCAATTGTTTAATACAAAAACAGGTGTAACAGGAGTTTTTTTAGTTAGTGTATATAAGCATAATGATGAAGAAAAAATATTTGCATTCATTGGAGATAAGCGCTATGTATTGATTAATGCAAAAAATGGTATAATTTTTTTTTTTTGAGTTGATCGTACTTTAGATCTAAGTGTGCGATATGGTCTTTCCATATACATACATACATGCATATTGCAGTCGTCACCTGTTCTCACTGCGTTGGCCCCGCTGTTGGCGCGGCCTGAGTTAAGACATTAGTTAGCGTCAGTGTTATTCTCATTGTAATCGGTACGATCTGCGTTTGCATGCGGACCAGAGTGGAAGATTCGACGTGATGTTGTTGTTCGTGCACGCGATCAACAACATATGTATAGGTGCGTGCACGTACGTTTGTCACATACTGCACGTTGGTAGCGACTTCGTATTTAATGTATGTTTGGGTTTCGAGTGCTGGCGTTGCTTGAATTTCAGCGTCGCTACTACTAATTACCGATGCTGGAACCGTGGCATAGATTTTGCTCATCGAGCGCATGGCATTTGATAAAACATTTGAAATTGCTGGTAGGGCTTTAGTTGGTGCAATAGACAGTGAAATTGGTGATGACGCTTTGTCATTCATTGTTTGCATTTCACGTTTGTCTGATTTATTTTGGGTCTGTGAGCTCATCCGCGAACGTCCCTGTTTCTTGCGCCGCCGTTTCTTCCGCGTGCGTGATGGTGTCATTTCGCGCACACTTTCTTTGGTTCTTGTTTGCAAGTCGAGGATTATGGGCACCATTTCTGTTGCAGCTTTAGTTTCTATTCCAGTTTCTATTCCAGTTTCTATTCCAGTGAATGCCAGCTGTGGCTTAACTTGCACTGTTGGTTTTGTTGTTGATATGGCGCTTTGATTAGCCATGCCTGTTAGTTCAAATACACGAAGCTTGCGATGTATACGTTTTCTCACCACGCGGCTGCGGCCGTGGCTCTGGACATTGCTTTTTACTGGGGTCGTCGTGTGGCCTATGTCAACTGGCGATGCGGATGCGTTGCCAATACTATCATTATGTTTTTCGATAGCTGTCAAGTTGCTCGGAAATACAGAACTCTGCGCGCTCAAGACTTTTCTATCATTTGCCTTATCCGTTCTATTTTTCAGGTTGTGTTCTGCCCTCGCTACCGGTCGCCGGCGCTGTTGTTTGATGACAATGATCTTTCGCAAAGGCAAAGTTGTAGTAGTAGACGTCGCAGTGAGCGCCTCTTCTGCTTCACTGTCGGGCAGCTCCGCTGTTACGGTTTTCAATCTTTGCCGTCGGACGAGCACCTTATTATACCTACGCCGTACGGCGCGGCTTGAAATCATTGTTGTTTCATTCGCAGTTGCGGATTTGCTTTCATAGTCAATATTTGCTGCTGTTGTGGAATTTTCGCTAGTTAATTTCGCACGTTTCCCAGTGGCCATCGAATGCGTGGTACTCCTTCTCCTCCTATTCTGTAACATATTACATTGATTAATAGTATGATTTAATTTGTTTATGGCATATGTGTGGTTCGATTTTTTTAGCAGACACAATGTCTTTACATCTAATTGATTTCGTTATTTGGTTTTTATGTATTTGAGTTGACTTTCCTTTGAAATTGAAATCATGTGTGTATATTATGTTATTCCCCAAGTATTTACGAAAGATCGCGTCATTGCTACTGGCTCTGCCGTTTCCTCTGTTGATGTCGTACACCTTCATGCGTTTGCTGCTAATGTGTGAACTGCTGCTCTTACTGCTGTTCCTTTCATAAATACCTATATCCAAACTACTTTTAGCTGAGTTTGGGCTTTTTGAATCGAAATTAATGACCTTGAACTGGCATGGGGATGATAACACAGTAAGGTCAGCTAAACTAAAAAATTATAGTATTTTCTGCTTTCATCCGGTTTGTCCGTCGAATTGTCGAGCAACGGCTGTCGTCTTACCAAACGACTTTCGACATGTTGAAGTGCCTCTCTCTGCAGTGCACTGGTGGCTAGCAGTTTACGCGCTGTTTGACCGTCATGTAATTGCGTGCTTTTAGCGAGCCAAGTACCCACGTCGCCGACAATACTCTCTAATGATTGCGTTTGGTCAAGCAGGTGATTTTCGCCGCTCTCGAGCATATTCAAGTCGATTTGAGGCACCGCGTTTGCTTCTTTCAGCTCTTCTGGTAATATGTATTCCGCCACAATCTCACTACCATCCGTCAAGTAAAAATCATTAACGGAATCAATTCTGGCAGATTGTTTCACGACGCCAGGCGCTTGGCGCTTATGCAGAGTTGACTCGTATCCCAAGGGCACTGTGCTCAAAATAGTACTGAATTCACCTGGACGTCGCCCTGAGACATACAGGGTAATGACGCTAGAGCCATCCGGCGCTTCCTCCGGTACTGACTGGTGTTTCCGCTTGTGTGACTTACCCGATTTGCGTGACTTCTTTCGGACCACTTTGTTCGACTGATTCTCTTCGACGACGGGTATGTCGTTATCATTATCGTTAGACGATCGTATATTGTTTGTGTCCAGATCCTGTAGGTTGTCTGTCAGCAGCAGCTGCGGGGCCGCCGAATGTAGTATCGGTTGCTGTGTCTCGATTTGCGGCTGCAGTTGCTGCTGTAACAGCAGTTGTTGCAACAGCAAGCTGTTGACCTGCGGTACCTGTGCTACGAGGGGTTGTGGCGTCGGTGTGGTCACAATGGTGTCGGTGACAAATTCTGTGGCTGTTATTGTTTGTGCGGTTGTATCGTAGACGGTGGTAAGTATCTTTTTACCCTGGAATGTCACCGGCAGTATGGTGGACATGCCCTCGAAAACTGTGGTCACGTAGGTGGAAGTATGTGTGCGGTATTCAGTAACGGGCGTTGCTGGGGTGCCCGGTGCACCCACCGCCAATTGATTCGCTGCTGGTGTCACTGCCGCACCAAATGCGCCAAGCAAGGGGTTCGCCGCCGGGAGACCAATATTGCCGAGCAGCAGTTGTGATAGTAAGATGTTGGCCAAGGGTGCATTCGCAGATATTTGAGGCTGTGATGTGGAAACGACATTTTCCACTGAATAAACCGTCGATGGTATGACATGCGAAAACGATGTTTTGCGTCCACGTATTGTTGTTGGTGTGAAGATGACAGTAGTTGTCGGTGACTCGTGCAGAACAAACTGTGTAATCTCAGTAGCACCACCGAAATTTATGCTGGAGTCTTCGCGGGTCAACGCCAACATAGTCTGGCCGTTGCCGCCGACAAAACTGGTGTATTGCTGCGGACCCAACACTTCGGTGCTCGTCTTTGCCGTGACAACATTTTTGTATTCTGTTAACTTGCCATTGACGACTGGGATCGTGACTTCAGCTGGTATGACGTGCGTGACGGTGATTGTGCCGTCATATGGTATCTCAACCGTATCGGCATTGTAGTCATTTCGGCTGCGTCCACGCACTGTTGTGCGCGTACGACTTAAGTTGTTGCGTCCCCTCGCCGATGGACTGCGGGAGGATGTGTCCTGTGACAAATTGTTGTTGTAAGATTTTAAACGCCGACTGTTTCCAGCCGATGGCGGTGGTGTACGTCGGGAAGAAGCCGCAGTTTGTGGTCGACGGAAATTATTAGTGCCAGGGCGCGTCAGAACTTTCTGCGTTGTGGTGGTGTCTTTTTCTCGCAATGTGAACTGTGCGCGCCCATTTGTGGGTCGCGTGGGTCTTATAGTACGATGGCTTGATGTGCTTGCTGTTGTGGTTGTGGCTGCTTGCGTACTGTGGTGTCCCGTGAAGCGTGAAGCAAAACGGCCGTTGGTCCGTGGACGCGTTGCTGTTGTGGTGGGTGGTGGGGAGGTTTCTGGTTCGACGTCCTCAGTGAAATTGCGTTCCTCGGCAGTGGATGTAAGCTTCGGGCGACGGAATCTGTTACGAAAATTACTGCGCCTTTGCAAAGAGGTAGTGGTTTCACGGCGTACACGTAACGAGCGCTCAGATTTTGTAAAAGGCTTTGAGTTTTTGTAGATTTTTTGAGATTTTAAAGCCACTGACTTAGTCGACGATTTAGATTGTTTGGTACTAGAGCGACGACGCCGATTGTTCTCACCATAGGCATCATCTTCGTTATCTTCTTCGTCTTCATCGTCGTACTCCGAATCATCATCTCCATCTACGTTTCCTTCAGTGATTTCATCTTTTTTACTTTCTTTGGCTTCGTTGGCATCTTGATTTGTTTGCTTTTGGAGCAGTCCCCGTGGCGGAAAGAGACTGTTTTGTGGGCGTGGTTTGCCTGGTATATTTCCGATTTGTGGTCGTTGAAAGCTGCGTGGCCGCGGTTGGGGTGTTGTCGTTGTAGTGGTGGGCGTAGTAGTTTCCGATCTAGCACGAGCTGTCAAAGGATTGCGCCGAGGCGAGATTGCGCCACCGCTAGAACTGCTGGTACGCTGATTGGCCGGCGTAAAACCAGCTGGGCGATTTATTGGTCTGCGAAAACGCAACAATGGGTTTTGACTTCGGCGTGTGACATCTGCAGAGGTCTCTTCATTTTCGCCTTCATCTGGCTGCAGTGTAGTCGACTCTTCTTCGCCGCTTGTATCTGGCGATGAAGTAGTTATGCCTTCCGCTGGGGTATTTTGTTGGCCAAGCAACCCCAAACCTGTTGGCTTAATGCGTCCGCGTGAACTTCCAGCATAGGGAGTTGAGAAACCTGGTCGGAAGCTACCAGGAGATGAAGGCCGTATCAAAACACCTGCGCGACGTGTAGAGGACTGCAGCGTTGGACGAGTGGAAGGCGAAAGTCTATTTCTACCACCTCCAAACCCACTAGTGGACGCTAATGCGGGGGAATTCAGCCCAGCACCATTGCCAGCTACCTGTGAGGGCTTGATAGGTCTGCCGAAGGATCGACGAGACGACGAACCAGTGGCAGCAATAAAAGTGCCTGATGATACAGGGCTGCTATAAATTCCGCCTTTTCTCGTGCTAAAACGACCGCTGGATTTTATCGCAGGTGTAGCAGTTATAGTTGGTGTGAAATCAAGGCGTGTTATAATTGTAGCGCTACTTGGTGCACCGTTCTTCTTCTTAGGTGCAAACTGCGGTCGATTTCGCGAAGCAAATGGCCGTATTACTGGCGTAAAAGTACGTTTCTTCGATTGGAAGGGCAAACGGGCTTTGTTATCGTCACCATCCTCGTCCTCATCATCTTCTTTAGCGTCCTCACCATCTGTGGGCAAATCAGTGGCGCTCTCTTCCGAGCCAGTGTCCGCAATACTTGTGCGGACCGCTGGTATATCCAGAGTTGCTATTTTTGTGGCTTCTATCTCTGGAGATGACCTCATTGTAAGAGTTGGTCCAATAGACACACCAGTGGCGATATTATTGCCATTCAATTTCTTTGTTTCAAAAATAAAACTAGACGTGCTCTCAATAATTTGAGCATAACGGTTCTCTATAAATGTGCCTATAACTTTGGACTGATATAGGGTGGTTGTGCGGTTGCCGATGCGTGTGCCCTCTATCAGTCGTACCAACCCCGTTTTATACTGGCGCGCAGTGCTGCCATCCACATTCACCGTTACTCCGTTAGTGCTCGGCAGCAGCGCTTTCTTGACTTCGTCAATATACAAACTCGATGTGCTGCTAATGAACTCGGACGGCGAGCCATCGGCAGCGATTGTGGATAATATCTCCGTGGTGAAGTGAAGTGTACTAATACCGTCCGAGTCAATAATCTTTTTGTAATCGTAAAGCAGCAAAGGAGTATCTTTTAAAAGCGCAGGTGTAATGCCGTCATTAGCACCCTCTCCCTCATTTGGCGCGCTATTATCGCTGGTGGCAGTACCAACCCCCTCAACTGCTGGGGTTGCAGCCGAAATAATTATAGAAGGCGTCACCAAATTTGTTATTGTTTCGAACCGAGAATCTGTTATCGCTCTGTCCCCATCGTATGAAGTGGTATAATACGTGTAAGTTGTGTAGTAGGTCGTGGGCTCAAACACTCTGGTTTTGTTTACTTCGACCACATGCAGCTCATTTGTTGGCACACTAATCGACGGAGTAGGCGTGTCGCTGGCAATTTGTACCACCTCATCGTTCGCTGAATTTACGGCTTCAGCTCTTGAATTTGTGTCTTGCAGCAAGATGCTGGGCGCAATCGAAGCGCCCATAGGTGTAAGAGTGGTCGGTGTGACAATGTTGGAGATTGTCTCCTCCCGGCTGAGCGTCGTGATTTCGCCATTCTTTGCGAGCTTGGTCCAGTATGTAAATGTGGTGAAATATGTAATGGGCAGCATAGCTTCCTCAACACTTTCGGTTTTACTTGCCTGCAATGTCTCGGTGACTAGATTAGTAATCGTCTCCAAGCGGCTTATGACATTTGTCGCATCGTTGTTGTACATTGTCGTGTAGTAGGTGAAAGTGGTGAAGCTTGTCTGCAGCAGTAAAGTGGCTGACGGTCTTATTTCATCGGTATTACTTTCCGAGCTTATTTGGTCGTCTACGAAGGAGCCTTGTTTTTGATTGATGATGTGATGGTCACCGTTCGAGCTGCTCGAACGCACGTCAGTCACCAGCATGACGGATGTATAGTTACTAAGATCTGGCTCTGGATGGCTTTTGTATGCGGAGGTGGCATGCCCGCGTATCATGGTGCTGTAGCTCAATAGTTGATGGTCGTTGGCAGTGCCTTCGCTGGTTTCATTGACTTTATTTAAATTGCTTCCTTCCCCAATCTCCTTCGCAATACTAACTTCCGGTGCGTGTGCCGACTTACTCCATTCGAGCACGGCTGTGGCCGCTATGGAGTCTGTAACGAAGTTTGTGTAAACCTCCGTTCTAGACATGAGCTCCGTCTCACCGTCTACAAATATGGTCGTGTAATACGTGTAGGTGGTAAAGTATGTCTTGAGTAGTTTATTGTCATCCAAAAACGTGGTCGCTTGCTCAGATTTTTCGTTGATCGTATTGTAGTCATTGGCGCTGCTTTCCCTGGTATGCTCTCCTTCCCGCAAAATACTCTCCAACTCAGTGGGCAGTATAAATTTCGAAGTGCCTGCAGAGTCTTCCTGCTGTGGCTGCATTTTGGCTCCATCTTCTGCCCGCAAGGTGCCTGCCGTTGTCTGCCGGTTTATGGCGGTTGGCTCTATTTCTTTGGCTCCCAAATCCAAAGTCGATGTCACAACGTTGGTGAGCACTTCCGTGTGGCTTGAGATACTGGTTTTGCTGTCGTCATTAAAGAAGGTGGTCAAGTATGTGTACGTCGTGTAGAGCGTCTTATAAATTAGCTCAATCTCTTCTCCTGACTCCTCTTCAGTCGAATAGACTGCGTCTTCTAATTCAGTGTCGACGTCCATATCGGCATCGTTATTTGCATCCTCCTCATTTTCTATTTCGCTTTGAGCAGCGCTTGATGTTGTTTCGCTCTCATTAGGTGCATCGCTGGTAGTTTCGATTACTGTGCTTGCTTTAGGCGCGGAAACCGCATTCGTGGCGTTCACGGAATTTTCGGTAACTTCCGCTGCATTAGCATCCTGTGCCTGTGGCTTCTGCACTTGCGTTCGTTTCTCCTCCTCCTCCTCTATAGTAAAACTGTCAGTTGGGCCCCTGGTTGCTGTTACTACTATTGTTGCCTCAGGTTTTATGCAATAATACTTGGTTGTTTCAAAAATGTCAAAGGTTGGCGGCAGTGGCGTCCCGGGTTTGGCCATTTCGCCGTCATCGCCCTTCTCATACAGAGCGCTTGATTTGGTTACTGTTTGGGCAATTTGTGTAAGAAAAACTTGGGAAGTTCTTGTGCAATCATCTATAACCGCCACATCGTCGTCGGTGTTGATCTCCAATACGCTGACTTTGGACGTTGGCTTTACTTGAACGGCTGGCACATTTTTGTCTGCAGGTTGCGCCTCTGCTTCCTGCGCTGATGCAGTATCCCGTTCTGCTTCTCCCTCCATGCTTTGTTTAGTATTATTCGGGAAAGTAATAATTTTTGGTGGTTCGATGGTGATTGTTTCATCCACGTCTTCGTACTCCTCTTTGGTTGTATCACTGCTGGTTGTTGTTGTTTCGTAACCAATTTGCGACGTATCTTGCTCCGAAACATCCGTGGTTTCCATTATGGTGGCACCGGAGTCTAATTTTGCACTTTCGGCGGTAGTTGTGGGCTCCACGAAGTTGGCAAAAGGGTCGTCCTCGAAGAATATTGTGGTTGCACCACCTAACATCTTCCCGGAAGAACTGGTACTGGGCTGAGCAATATCCACCGCTGCATTAGGCGTGGCAGCTTCAGTGCTGCGCGGCTCACTGCTTTGCAAAGTGGCTTCCATCATATAGATAGCTTTGCTTTCATCAACTAGCTGCTCAGTAATAATTTTTACATCTAAATGTGCAGCTGCTGCTGTAGTGGCCGATTTGCGTGATGCCTCTGCGCGTGACAGTGAGGCGTATATTTCCAAAACTTCTTGATCAGATGGACGCGAGTATGTCGCAAGCGTCTGCATGTTGGTAGTGAGGTGGCTTTCGCCAATGTTCAATTTACTATCCGCTTCAGTTCCGCCAAACTGAATGCTACTGGGTGCGTTACTTTTCACCATATCTGCAACCGATGCTGTCGCTTTCTCTTCCGCACTGTATGCCACTTCATGTGACGTAATTTCTTCTGGTATTTGTGATGGCATCAAGGCAGCTCCGGCCTCAAGGTTGATGCTATTTTCAGTAAACTTATTCGGATCAGCTATATGCATTGTTGATAGCAACTGTGTGTTGACAGCTAGCGTTGGTGCTATAGCCACTGTTATAGCGACTGTAGACACCTGAGGCTTGTTAATGTCACCAATGGCGTCCAAAGTCGCCTCGCCTTTTATCGACGTCACATGGCCCAAGTTCAGGTTCTCAGTGGAGGTGCTGGGCGAGAAGACAATCACACTGTCGCCAACAATAGTCGTAAAGTCCGCGAATCCATAATAAGTGGTGGTCGACAGCTGCCGATTTAAAAAGGCTTCTGCCGGTGCGGCTTTGAAAGCCCTACTAATGCCACCGTTAGCACCCATCAGCTGTTGGTAATAGAGCTTTGGCGAGCGATTGAGTATCAACTCATTGTTGCCAAATTTTTTGTATATATGCGAGGATTCGCCAGTACCACCACTTACCGGATGCTGGGGCAAATGTACCTGATTTAAGTTCATTTCTGTTGAGAAACCACTCGGCGAGAAGTGATTGCGCACTGTGTACGTGGGCAAGTCGGCGATAGGGAGAACCTTGTTCGCTTCCAATTCGCGCGCATTCTCCTCCAGCTGTCCTGTTCGGCTCGCTTTGTGCAAGGGAACATCGGCATGCCAATTTCGCGTACCGTTGCGACCACTGCTACTACTACCATTACTGCTGCTACTACTAAAGTTTGTAGTGATGTGGGTGGAAGGAAATGTCGGATAAGCAGTGGAGATTGAATTTTGCTGTTTTTTTCTCCCTTCGCTTAAACCAACGAAATCCGTGTTGCCAACAAAAGCACTGCCATCGATTAGCAAACGATCATCGATGTCTTGCCAATCCGGCTGATCGGCGTTAAACAGATCATTGTGGCTCTCCAACAGTGATTTCGTTTGCAACTCCAAATTATCGCCCACCCAGCTGGTAATGGCTGTGGGTAACACGGCAGTTTGATGTGGCTGCTGCTGGCCATTGTCGTAAAGCACGCGTGAACTCTTCTTAAGGTACTGCGCATACAAACGCCCATTGTCCAGTATGGTGCCCACCACTTGCGTGGCGTACTCGGTGGTTACGCCCTCCTGTATGAAGGTGCGCGCAGTTGAAGTCAGTAAGCCAACTTCAGGGCGCACGCTAGCATAGTGGCCCAAATAGTCGCTGCGTCCATTGTTCTCGTTATTGACCAACAGCACTGTCGTAAGGTCTACACATACACCGAAAAAATTCCAAAAATTCGTCGAACAGTCGAAGCAGTAAATCGCAGTGAAATCGTCCAGTGAAACCATAGCCGTCCGGTATAAGAGCGGTATGGTATTTAAGGCAGTCCGGTAAAAGCGGTTAAATTCAAATTATAAAATATTTATAAAAATACATTTATAATATTTTGATATTAATAAATATTATTATTTTTTATTTAACATACATACAAAATTTGTAACAGCGATATTCAGATTCGTAACACACGTAGCAGCAACAAACGGTTGTTGTTGATGTAGTAGTTATTGTAGGTAATATCAAAATGGAAGTGGTACATATATAGATTTATAGGAGGTAGTGATAGATTGGTGCAAGTAAGTGACGTAACCAATGCCAAACAAATCCATTAAAAGAGTAAAGAAAAAGAAAGAGAAAAAATAAAAATACAAAAGTGGTATTAAGTTGAAATTGAGAATATGTTTCATACGTAGTACACATGTATGCATGCATATAGATTTTAATTTTTTGTTGATGTATGTACATATATGCATAATGCATAGTATAGATATTTACAAAAACTATTTTTAAGCTTAATATATGTACAATATACAATTGAGGAATTAGAAACAATAAGGGCACTTATGTTAAAACTGCTTTTTGAGATACATAAATATTAGCGTTTAAGGTTTTTGATGTGTGATAACTTTTGCGCTGTTGCAGTAAATAAAAGAAGGTTTTGATAGCCATTAATACTTCTATATTCTCATTCCAACTTGCATACTAACAAAATATGTCTTCCATATTATTGCTCAAAAAAATGCGAAAAAGGGAAGAGGCAGATGTGTCCTTTTTTCATAAAACAAAGAAATTAAAAAAATTTTAATCTTGTTTCAATAGAATGGTGATGACATACATACATATATAAACACACTTGCTTACATTAATTACAATTTCGAAAAATGTATTACATATAAAACGGTATAAAATCCAACAACAACAACAACGCTATTTGCAAAGTAAGGAGAGAGAAGCAACTCAAGGCAAAAACAAAAACAGTATTTTTGTAAGTGCGCTGACTAAACAAATTTCCGCTATTTTCATATGTTACTTCTTTCTATTGATCCATTTTACGTAAAAAGGGCACATCTCTCTTTGAGCCATTATTGCATCTTCTTCCTCAATTGTAATTTATAAATATTTACACTAGTTTTAATAAATTGTCAGTTTAATTTCTTATAAACTTTACATAAGCATACATCGAAAATTTGTTTTAGAGAATCTATGTGAAATAATTGCAGAAACGATTAACTTATTTGCTGAGCATCCGAGGCGTCTGCTTTTTAAATAATTTTTGTAAAACCAATCGGCAAGTACATATCGTTCCCCGCATGCCAGAAACATGAATGTGTAAAGATTAAAATTTTGGGAAATCAATATGTACACTAATAAATAGTCTTATAAAAATACTTAGAGTTTGAAGGTTAAGAAACGTACGAGAAAAGCAGCATAAAAAATATAAAAAAAATTAAAATTAATAAATAAATAAAAATGTTAATAGTATGCAGCTAAAAGACAGCATAATCTTTACTGCCTTCCCGAAAATAATATTTTTTTCGCTGATCGCAAGATTTAAAAAAAATAAAAAACTTAATATTTCCTGATAGTAGGAAAGTCTATCTCGTGATCGAACATATCTTGTTCAATGTGGCAACTCTCTTGTACGAAGTGCAAGTGACATTATGCTGAAAGTCTTTTAAAATTTAAATAGAACTAGAACAGTGGAAAGCCGGAAAAATTGTTGAAGGCGAATGAGACTGTATTTTATTTTTAAAAACTATAAAGGGAAGAAAAATCTTTAATTGTTATAAAAGCCAAAGAGAAAAACTGGCGCTCCTCCCAAAAGCGAAAAAGTAAACAAACAGTTGCCCGTAACAAAAACAGAAGCCAACAACAACAACAACAAGTTTCAATCAGCTAAAAAATCGCGCTAATTTTTGATAATTGTTTCTTGTTTGGATACTTCTTTTGCGGTTTTTTTGTTATATAACAAGTGTAATTTACAAAAAATGGCGTTGATTTTTTGAAACTTTGTTGTTGCGGTCTCCGGCATTTTGTTTCATAAGAAATTCATGCTTATATGGAAAAAAAAATTCTCATAAATCAACGTGATTTTTTAGCCGTTTGAAACTTGCATTAGGCTAAAATTGCATACCCAAAAATGTTCTAAAGAATCAGATCAAAAAAACTAAAATGTGTGGAATATTCCTAAATTTTGTATACAGTTTGTAACTGTGGATTATGTGGTTAAAGCTTGAACAGTATTTTTATAGAAAATCATTACGAATATTTAAAAAAATCAACACATCAGTTTTTCTCTCTGAGGTCAGTACTTTTTAAAAGGACTTTGGAATTAAAAAATGTGATTACTTATAAAAATTATTTAAAAATTTCGTGCAATGTAGTATAAAGATAAGGGTATCAAGTATAAGAAAAAATTCTGTAGAATTCTAACAGAATAAATTTTTTTGGTGCATCAGGACGAATGGGTATAGAAAATGTCCTTTAAAAACTTTGTCCCTAAAAATCCAAAATTTCCAATATTTATTTTTGGAAAAATTATTGATTGGGGACTAATATATGTACATACGACCACATCATCGAATTTCGTCCTGCAAACTTTATTAACTTGAAAAGATAAAGTTTATTAAAAGCGCATTTTCAATACCTATTCGTCCTTGTAAACCAAAAAACTTTATTGTTTTTAACTTCAACGGAATTTTCTCTTTCATTTGGTGCCCATATTGTTATTCTACATTGCACTGATTTTTTTAAATAATTTTTTGAATTAATCATATCTTTAAAATTTCGAAGTCTTTTGAAAAAAAATCCTGACTATGAATCATTGTTAACAAGTTCGAGGCTCAGCAATTAAATAAAACACAAAAACTTCGTTCTATTGATATTTCGACCAATCTGAGGTCATCTTCAGGACTGTAAATATACATACAAACACGATAACTTATTATTAACTTTAAATTATTACAAACATACATTAACCCAGATGTACCTAATGTACTAAATATAGTACAGCAAGAACAT